TTTACACAATTGATGTGTGTATGGATTGGGATAACAGTTGTATGAGCCCCTAATAAAATGTTTAAATAAATAAATAAATAAATAAATAAAAAGACCAAAGGAAGATCAAAAAAAAAAAAAGAGTTAGTCTTGGAAACTCAAAGAGGGAAATTCTACTCTGCCTGTACAGTCGCTAAGAGTCAGAACGGACTTGATGGCAATGAGTTTAAGGGGCAGACAGTCTCATCCTCTGATGAATGGCTGATGAGTTTGAACTACTGACCTTCAGTTAGTAGTCCAATGCCTAAGCCACAGGGACCAATGAAAGCAGAGAACATGTGGATGAGAAAACAGGGAGGTGGGAGCCTTTGAGTTGTTAGGTGCCGTGGAGTCTGTTACGATCCACAGTGATCCTGTGTACGACAGAAGGAAACACTGCGCGGTCTAGACCATCCTCACAACTGAGCCCATTGACGCAGTCACTGTATCAATGCATCTCATTGAGGCCCTTCCTCTTTCACTGCCCCTCCACTTTATCAACCATGATGTCCTTCTCCAGGGACTGGTCTCTCCCAACAATATGTCCAAAGTATATAAGACCAACTCTTGCCATCCTTATCTCTAAGGAGCACCCCCCACCATTGGGCACCCTTTAATTTGTTACTTCAATTTGGTTGAAGAAGGGAATATTAAAAAGTAGAAAAATGAAGGTGAAGTACTTTAGGTATCTGTGGAAGCCCGGAGTTACTGTGGGGACAAGGGGAACCACTGAGTGTAAGAGCAGAGTAAGATGATGAGTCATCTCCCAGTGTTCAGAGAGTAGATATAAAACACGTGTACTTAACAGACCACCAGGTCCTGTCAAGTCAATTCCCACTCCCACCGGCCCATGTGTGTCACACTAAACCTGTACTTCCCAGGGATGCAGATCAGATCACTGGACCTTTCGTCTCTGGGTGAATGTGAACCCTTACCTTTACCCTTTCAGTTAGCAGTGCTAAACCCTTGCACCACTCAAGGCTTCCAAAGCACATTAGTAAAGCATGTAACAGCTAATGTGACGAAGTTCTGCTCTGGCTGGCAGGAAAGGGCTGGGGCACGGATCCAGGTGAAACCTGAGGGGACGACAGTGCAAATGAAGTGTGGCCTTTGATGCTAGGTGGTGGTGCTCAAGCAGGACCAATCTTCCTCCTCCCCAAGGAAGAGAACGACAGCAGTTTTGGTTATCACAGAGGAGGGGGTGGGACTGGCATCTGGCAGGGAGAAGCCAGGGATGCTGCTCCATATCCTAGAGAGCACAGGGCAGCACCCCACTATCAAGGGGCAGCACACTGGTCCTAATTGGAAACAGCACCGAGGCTGTAGAAGCCTGACATAAGGGGAGCTGCCAGAGGGGACACACAGCTATCTTCCCTTAAAAGGTCAGTGCCTGGAGAGGTAGGAGGGTAGCTGGACCATTCACTCAGGAACATACATTCCTTCCCACTGTTAGCACCAAAGATTTAAAGCATAACTGTACATCTTCCATCATTTTCCCCTCTGCCCTTCAAAGCTTGTATTCTGACAATACGTCCTCAAGCCTCTACAGGTATTTGCACCCTCTCCCAGGAGCCCTGGGGGGTACAGTGGATTGATTACATGTTACATTGCTAACTGAAAGGTCATCAGTTCAAAACCACCCACTGCTCCTTGGGAGAAAGATGAGGTTTTCTACTCCCTTACAAATGCAGAGGGGTTGTCCTCTGTCCTATAGGATCACCCCGAGTCAGAGTTGACTGGATGGCAATGAGGTTGCTTCTTTTTGTTGCTGTTGTTGCGTCCCTCTACCAGTCTATCTGGCCGCTTCTGATTGTCAGAGCTCACTCTATTCTGTGAGTCATCCCTGCATGTAAGGTAGGCGTAGAATGGTCATTCTCCCTCATGCCTGTGGTCTTCAATTACTGTGAGCGCCACTGAGTCCGCTCCAACTGATGGTGACCTCATGTGTAACAGAATGAGCGGCTGCCCTGCCCTGCCTGTGTCATGATCACTGAGTCCATGGCTGCGTAGTGCCTTCACAAGAGGCTCAGCTTCGAGAACCACATGAGCAACATTCTGTCATGAGCCAGAGGCTTCCATTGGCTGAGTTTTAGCAGTGGTTTGTCAAAACCTGTCCACCATGGGTGACCTTACTGGTATGTGAAATACCAGTGGCATAGCTTCCAGTATCACAGCAACATGCAAGCCACCACAGGACGATAAACTCGTATGCAGGTGCTGTATTGTTCTTATACTTACTACCATGGGGGACATTCTTATACTGGATTGTATCTGGGGAGGGGAACCTATTTATCTACAACTGAAGTGTAAGGTGGCCACCCCCCTCATTTCATCTTGCTTCCACCCTGCTTGGCAGACAACAATCATAACAGAGGTGTCAGATGACGAGGTAACTATCTGAACCACATGTTTCAGGTTAAAGGAAGTCTAACATCCGGCAGATAGGCAGATGACACAGCTCGCTTGCTGAAAGTGAGGACTTGAAGCACTTGCTGATGAAATTCAGACTGCAGTCTCCAGTATGGATTACAACTGAATGTAAATTAAGCAAACTACCTTCCCCCACAACCAAACCAGTAGACAACATCATGATAAATGGAGAAAAAAACTGAAGCTGTCAAGATTTCGTTTTACTTTGATCTACCACCAATGCTCATGGAAGCAGAGGCAAGAAATCAAATGATACATTGTATTGAACAAATCTCCTGCAAAAGACCTCTTTAAAGTGTTGAAGAACAAGGATGTCACTTTGAGGACCCAGGCTTGCCTGACGCCATTTTATTTTCAATCACTTCATATGCATGTGAAAGTTGGACAATAAAAAAGGCCCCCCAAAAAAGCATTGTGTATTTGAATTATGGTGCTGGAGAAGACTACTGAAAGTACCCTGGACTGTCTGAAGCACAAGCAAATCTGTCTTAGAAGACGTACAGCCAAAATGCTCCTTAGAAGCCAGAATAGTGAGCCTTTGTCTCAGAAACTTGGGACAAGTTATCAGGAGAGACCAGCCCTGGAGAAGGACATCATGCTTGGTAATGTGAAGGGGCAGAG